CAACCTATATCCTTTCTAATGATGGGAAGTCACTCTTTATGAAGAATTTCTGCTCACAAATGATCAATGCAAAGTCAGTGCAAACCCCCTTGTTCTTGCTTTGCAAAATGAGTGAGCCTTTAACTGGTGGACTATAGCTGTCACTCACGTCTATGACTCCAGTGGGACTGGAAGCATGGCCACACCCTGAGGTTTGTGGAAAGGGGAGGCAATTCAATTCATATTTAAAAGCCATCCACCTGAGAACAAGAAAATACAGGACACTAGTGCTGCCATGCTATTTCAGGCAGCTGTGAACTTAGACTGGGATGTTACAATTCAGTGAAGAGTTCTTTCTATAAATATTGAATGCTGGAAGATGAAGACAAAGGAGAAAAGCCAAGGCCAGTAGGAAGGAAGCAATAAACCCCATAATTGTCTATATACACATGCAGAGTGTATAGGAAATGAGCTCAAAGTGACATTACAGAAAGGAAATTATGGCTTAGCTGGTAATGTAGAACTGTAATGAGATAAATCAGAGACCTGAAATGTTAATATTGATGTATGCAATCTGTGCAGAAAAGGACAAAGAGAAAAAAATGATAAAAGGTTGCACTGTACATCAAAATCTTGTGTGCAAGCTGCACAGCATAGGTGGATAATGAAAAAAATGGTAATGGTGATTTTTTTTTGTGAGTCATTATGAGAAAGAAACAATATAAAAAGAAACATTCAGATAGCTCCAGATATAGATCACTGACTTGGAATTAAGAGGCTGATAAACTGTGTCTGAAAAAAGATATCAGAACTGATGGTATTGCAGAAAAATGAGTATAATGGAATCATTTCATTGTCCCTAAAATGGCATCCATGTTATCCATACAAAGAAGAATGTTTATCAGTGCACTATGGAAAAGATTCCCATTTTAAAAAAGTCACCAAGAAATAATTTTTTACTGAATCCAGCCTTGTCTGCTAAGGAAGACATCCTTGAAGTAGTAATTCAGGAACAACTATTGTTCATTGTACTGGTGCCAAGATAAGAACACCAAGTAGTCTTCATGATCTGTGCAGGTGATTCCTTCTTGATGTTCCTATACCCACAGACTAGTTTAGAGCTAGGTTCCTTTCTTCTTTAAACTTGGTGGTTCTTAAAACCAAGTAGTACTGAAAATTAAGAGAATTAAGGCTAGATTCAGTATATGTGTGCTGAATCCTATGGTTTGCACAGGAATACTTTTCCTATGAGATTGTGCATTTTTCCAGGTTTAGAAAAGAACCATTTTTAACCTGCCTTTTGAAGGTATTCCAACTCTCATGGGCTGAGTATAAATGCAGAACAAGAACTATGATATAATGAAAGGCTGGAGTGCTCGGCTGAAGAAGGAAGATTCGGTTTTCCTTGCTCTGCTGAAAATCTAATATAAAACATATGCAGTGGAGCAGAGCTGGAAGCTAGAAGCTCACATTGCCTTCTCTCAGTTACGTATTCAATCCATTAGGCTTTTACTGTCATCAGTTTCTGTATAATTATTATGAAGCCTGAGAGCCTTTTTGAAGAAGATAATCCCTTCTCTTTTATCCCAACATGCTTTGCACATCAGCATTCTTACATAGTCCTTGTGATGGCTGAGATCCCCTGAAGATCATGGAGGTATCCCAGGTGCTGGTTAAACATTCTGTGGGCTGGGAATGAAGGCATCACTGAGGTGGCATCAACTGCTGGTGATGGCATTTCCACCAGAGTTGCACTGTGGGACTTCAAGTCCCACAGAATACACACACAGACACTCACCCCAGCAGGATCTCGCTGACAAAACTCTGAGACAAAATTCAGGCACTTCCAAGATTTTGTGTGAGCTGTTTGGGCTCTGAAGATCTGAATTTATCTAGCAACAGCTTTTAAATAGAAGGCAAAGATTTCTGGTATAAGTATTTTTATACCGCAAAGGGTAAGAAATCAGTTGTTAATTTGGCAAATAGAGTATCTATATTGACTTACTCAGATTATGATTGTTATGATAGTTTTTGCTTCCACATTAGAGGTTTTAAAGAGTAAGAAGATTTTTGTGGAAGAAGATAAGAAAATCATTTGTAGAGTATGACAAGAGAATCTTAGAGAAAAGAATACAGTAGTAATTGGGATGTTTGAGTAAAAAAGAAGGGAAACAAGAACAGAAGCATAGAGGCCAAGTTCTCATTATCATAAATCAGGCTTAACTGATTAAGATGGCTTTATAGATCCTTTGCATCAGCTGAACAGCACAAAGTAGTGAAAAGCACGAGTAGATGTAGCCCTCCTGGAAAACAATTATGTCTTAAGAGCAGAGATTAATGCTAAAATTTATAAATGCAAAAATAGATGTTTGAGGTAAATTGCAAGAATGCAAAAATAAAAATAGTCAGAGATAATTAAAGGAAAAAGTAAAGAAAGAAATAAAAAGTTGAAAATTAAAGAGAAGGAAGAAGAAATCATTAAGGCTAACGCACAGTAGAACACAAGTAACTCTACTTGTTTGTCAATAGAACAAGTTCTTCAGCAAACATTTTGTGAAATCATCAACTTAAATCTAGAGGTATCAAAACAATTAAGAATGCTTTCATTTGAATAGTTACAGTCCCAAGTCAATCACCTTCAGCTACATTCCTGCTTCATTTTTGTCTGTGATTGAAACTGTTTTCTACATGAAAATACTTTTGGAAAAGAAATACAAAAGCAATTCTTCAATTGCAACTTGAGGTGTTTCAGGGCACCAGATTTTGTTTGTTGAGGACAGCATACTCACATCAGAGGGGCTGGTGGGCTTGCTAGAGAAAAGAACTGAGGTGGTATCAGGCATCCTGTCTGATCTCTTGCAGCCAAACCAAATTATTTGGGCTTATTTGTCATTAACCCATAAATGAATGACAGGTATAAATCTAAGTAACATATTCTAGCAGGTAGAGAAAAGCACAAATAGACTTACAGATATTCTGAGCTATGATAAATTTGCTTCATTCACTTTATGAATATTTTTTCTCTAATTCCTCCATTAGAACTATGCAGTTAAATAAAGAAAACTTTGTTCTATTTAAGATTTGTATCAGAAATTTAGGTATGAGTTTCTTCCCGTATTTTTTCTGACATCATCAAATGTTGCTCCTTTTGTCCAGTTAAAGAGGAGGCTCCTTTATTTTTATGGTAGAACAGATCTAAAAATGCCTGATCTACTCCACAGAGCTCCACTGCAGTAAGCACCTTAAAAATGCCCACCAAGGAATAATGCCAGTCACAACAATTTTACAGTTTAAATAGTGAAGACAGACAACAAGTGAAAAATGGCATTACTAAGAGCTGAGATGAAGAGGCCAGAACTATCAAGTGAGACAGATAGCTAGGAATGAAACACAAGCTCCCTGATTCCTAAGCCAGTGTCTCTCCCCTAGATCATACCACTACTTTCATGAGATTACTCTGGAGCTTTACACTGAATCCTAATGACCCCAAATATAAAGCCCTTTTTATTTAATGTTTCCTCAGCTTAAAATAAGATCTATATGTTCCTGCACAAGCACAGAATGGATGCTCTAGGAAACAGTATTTTTCAGGGTGAACACAACACTATTTCTAGTTTGTATGTGTCATACACTAAGATTCTGTTACTGCATCTTTTAGTGATTTTTATAACTTATAAATAGTATTTTCTTATCATGCCAATAAATAAAAACAACCTGCCCCAGGAAAGTTCAGTTCCAATCACTCCAGCATAATAACACTGTAAATGTTTACTCCAAGAAAACATGATGCAGCTTCTATCTACCTTGTGCAGAGTACTTCCAAAGACAACACAAAAGTAATAATTATTATAACCATATTTTTATGTGGATGTTCAGGAACATAGTGAAATGCCAGGGTGAATTTATGGTGGAGTAAAGGATAAAACATTAGCTCTGCATCAATTCCATCACAAGTTGTGCCTGAGAGGCAGACGTTCACTTTTGGTGTTTCTGATTTTAAGCATAAATTACTGATGCAGAGACCATAGTTACATGAAAATTGCATTCACCTGCACTGTGGATTAATGGATTTCAGAAAGTTAAAATGAAGTCAGGCACTCTTTGAGCTTTAGATATAAAAGATCATGAGGATTGGAGGATGTGCTTGCTCTCTTTGGGGTTGTACAAAAAGTGATTGATAATAATTTCAGATAATAAATAATGATTAGGAGCAAAAGGAAAATAAAAATATCTGAAGCATTCTGTTGGGCAAAATGCAGGCCAGGTCATTACAGCACAGCTGGCATACTTGCAAGATGAATGAATTGGTGAATGAAACCAAGACCAATAAATCACAGGCTCAGGCTTTTTTCTTAGATTTGGGTGGGTGGTTTTTTTTGGTTGGTTGGTTTTGAAGTTTTTTTTGTTTGGGTTTGATTGGGGGGGGTTATTTTGGTTGTTTTTTAAAATTGTTTGCTTGCTTGTTTGTATACTGGGAAGAGTGTCTCACTCTACAAGATACTAGAAGTCTTTTTTAATATAGAGACTGTGAAAATACTGGGTCCTTAGTCAAGGAATACCTAGGAAGAGATTAAACCATGCATTACTGGGAGATGGAGCAGAGGGCAAAATGTGTCTGTTTCTGCCAATGTACTGCATTTCAAACCTAAATACTATATGCTTAGTACTGAAGTAGAGCTTAAACTGAAACAGAAAAGCAATGTTTTCTCTGATTCCCACCCTGCAAGTCACATTTGTAAGGAGGTTTTAATGTAGGTTCATAGAAAAATCCAATAATTGGTTCTTTGTGTAATCACAAAGGCCTAATCCTATGCTCATTAAAGTAATTGATAAAACTCTCACTGACGTCAGTGCTGTGGGATTGAGCCCTAATACAGCATATTGGCTTTTAGACATACGTGTCACATGTGAGAGTTAATAAATGAAAGGCACAGAGACACAGACAGAAGCTACTTGGAAGAACATCTTTTCAAAGACTGAATACTGTGTCCTTATCTCACAGACACACACAGGCAGTGAAATGGCTGATCCAACCCAATATTCTTCCTGCCCCAGGATAATGGCAATGTTTTTAGTCAGTGGTGGGAGATGTAGTGAGGGAAAGGAATGCTTCTAGATGTGCTTTTGCCCAGCAAGGAGAAAACACACATTTCCAAAACTGTGAAAAAGAGAATGCACAATAATTTTACTCACCACACAACAGAGATGTTCTTGCAGAATCACACAAATTAATTACAGTATTGACTAAGCAATCTCCAACTTCACTTTTTGAAAAAGCAATTCTGCATGCACAAAGGAAAAGCTGAATAAGGGTTTAGTAATTTAGGATCAGCTAACATGCTGAGCATGGTAACTGTATCTTACACAAGGTTTGTGCTCAGAATACTCCTAGGCCAGCAGACCAGAAGCTTTTTCCAGTGTAAACAAATGAAAGAGCCTGGACTCTATCTTCTCCAGCTGAATTAAATGCACCATTCCATAGTAAGCCAAATCCTGGACTCAGGTAAAGTAACAAAATTGAAATTAATTTATGTTGATAATTTGTTTAGATTTGAATGGTGACAACTAAAACCCTGACTTCCATTTTCAGTATTAATCGTGTTTGTTATAATGATGACTAAAACTAACTGAAAGTGAAGTACCATTGTGCTGACTTTACAGAAACTTCCTTTATTCTACTTTTCCTCCCATGTGTTGTATTCCCAACAATTTATAAAAGCTGTTGTAGTAACTGTCTTTTATTTCCGTATACTCTTTGCATAGGAAACTAGTCTCATCACCAGTCATGAAATGCCTCCTTTCTCTCACTTTCATTCATAAACCTCACAAAATCCCACAATCAAATGCTTCTGCAGGATTACACCCACCAGATGAGGAATTTAGACTCCTACTGACCCAGAACTAAACATGCAAGCAGGTTCACATCTGGGGATTTAAATCCAAACTCCTTTCCACAGAAATTCAAAGAGGATCAGATCTGAGGTTCTGGTTTTGCACCATTTCTAATCCTAATAATTTTAACTTAATCCAAACCTCAGCTACAGAACTATACAATTTTAACCAGGACACTACTGACATATTTGAAAGTGAAAATAGGAAGCTAAGAATGACATTTGCAGCTACTGCCACCCATTAGTAACACTCAAGCAGGCATTTAAAGAACCTCATTTTTCCCTCAGTCTGCTTCTGCACTATTGTGACTACTAATTTCAGTGGAGCTATCCCTAACTCACTCCCATGTAAGTGGAAAAAGGTTCCATCTTCAATAGAGGAACCAACATGGCCTTATGTAGACAGCATTAATTTTAATTTCCTCTCAGTTCTTTGAAAAAAAAGGTACTTTTTATTTATTCCCAAGCTTTATCTTAAAGTAATTATTTGCACAAGTCATCCTCAACGAGGACTGGGTTTTTGGTTACTGAGTACATTTTCTGGTTTATATTTGCCATCATAAGACATCCTGGTTTTGTAGAACAACTTTTATTAGGAAATGAAATGGGATTACCATCAGAACTTTTAGACATTGCTGTGATGCAGTTTGAAATTGAGCATATTTTCAAGTTCACTAACTAAAGCTTCTTTCAGCCACAAGCAGGTCAAATGTGACTCTGCAGCCAGCCACAGGACATGGGCAGTTAGAAGTGACACATCAGTTTTCAAGGCCATCTGACTCAGGTAAGTGAATTTACAGCTGGGGTGCCTGGGTTGGTCTGCTGTGAGGGCAAGCTATGAACCTGCACAGCTTTTGGACAGAGAGGTAGAAAAGGTTGAGATGTTTGCCATATCAACATCAACACATGCATTTAAAAAACATATTGCAACACATCAAGAGTTGCATTTAAAAACAGTAATTTTAACCCAGGCACAAACCAGAAACTTTTCAGTTCAACATGGCTTTACAGTTTAGTTCTGCTATACCTGGGAAGAAAGACGCTGTACCTAGGTAAAACCTCCAGGCTTGCCTGATAGCAGCATAATTGGGAACTTTTCCCATATCAAGAAAAAAACTCACATTTTGTTTTGCTAAGATGCAGACTGATTTCCTTGACAGGAATTCAGGTTTTCTATGTTTAGAACATTGTTGTTATTAGCACAAAGGCTTGATGCCCTCACAGTGCTCTAGGTGCCTTCTGGCAACAGTGAGCTACCCTTGTGGGCATGGACTGTCTTTGGTGTGCACCAGAAGGGGCTGCTTGGTCTTTCCACAGCTCCCATTAAAAGGTGAGATACTTTTTTCTACGAATTTTCTGATCCCAGAAAATTATTTACCCTTAACCTTTTTAAGAAAGAAGTTGTCTTACACACTAGAGAGATGAGACAAACACAATCCCAATCATAAAATCATTAAGACTAGAAAAGACCTCCAAGGCTCTTGATTACAACTATTAACCCAATACTGCCAGGTCCACCATGAGAACATCTCCCTAAGCACCACATTTACACCTTTTTTGAATGCTTACAGGGATAGTAATTCTACCACTTCCCTGAGCATCCTTTTTCAATGCTAGACTATCCTTTTGGGGAGGAAACCTTTCCTAATATCCACATAAACCCCTCTGGTGAAATGTCCTCTCATTCTGTCTTGTTCTTTGGGAGAAGATGCTGAGCTACATCTGGCTACAACCTCCTTTCAGGTAGTTGTAGGAAGTGCTAAGACTCCCCTGAGCTTCCTTTCCTTCAGGATAAACAGCTCCCCTCAGCTGCTCCTCACAGGACTTGTGCTCCAGACCATTCCCCAGCTCTGTTGTCCTCCTCTGGACACGCTCCAGCACTGCAATGCCTTTCTTGTAGTGAGTGGCCCAGAACTGGACACAGCTCTCGAGGTGTGGCCTCACCAGTGCCGAGTACAGGGGACAATCCCTGCTCTGCTCCTGCTGGCCACACCATTGCTGATCCGGGCCAGGATGCCCTTGGCCTTCTTGGCCCCCTGGGCACTGCTGGCTCATGTTCAGCCAGGTGAAGGTCAGGTTTGTCACAGAATTCCTGTTGGTATAGTGAGAGCTTAGCGCCAGAGGGCCAGCGGCGGTGCTTTCATTTGGAGGAGAACAGAGCGGCTGCGATGGGCGCTGAGTTCGTGTGCCCGACGCCGGCGGCCTCCGCCTCTCCCTGCTGAGGGCACCCGGGCAGGCCCCGCGCCTCTCCCGGCCATGGCCGCGAGAGGGCGCGCCGGCCCCGCCAGGCCNCTCGAGGCGCCGCATCCCTGCCCCTGCCGGCGGCGCCGCGGGAGCGCTGGTCCCCTGCCGCAGTGCCCCTGCAGCCCGCCGAAGCCATCTTCCCCCGGCGCTCCATTCCCGGGCTGTGCGGGGCCGCGGGGCCCCCTGCGCTCACAGCCGGAGGCAGGAGGCGGCGGCAGGTGACGCCGGGGCCCGCCCTGGGGATGCTGCTGATCCGAGCGCTCCCCGGTCACCGGCGGGCCTCGGTGCCACGACCCGCCCAGGCTCCGCGCTGGGACTCGGGGAGCGCCTGGCTCTGAGGCACGGCCGTCCTTCTCGTGGGATGTGCTCTGCTGGCTCACTTGGCGAGCCTGGGGCGTAGTGACAAGACCGGAGCGATGCCACGCAATTTCACCGTCCTCAGCCCCAGCGCATCGGTCTGCCCCGCGATTAAGCATCACCCCGCTGCATCTGGGCGGAGAGCAAAGGTGACAAAAAACTAAGGCATCCTTTAAGTAAAATGTTTGAATGGCAAAATATACACTATAGATGTATAATGGGATTTTTCAGACAGGCTCAGGTGCTTTTGAAAATGCTGTGACTTCTGTTTCTTTTTTTTTTAGTTTGTACAAACCCATCATAGACTGGCCGTGAGCAGGGGAGCCAGGAGTTGTTCTAAATGACAGTAACACGTCTTATCTATCCCCTATCCATCTATCCTGCCAAGCAGTAGGATGCCTCTGCTCAAAGAAGAGTTTCAGTGCCCACAGCTGTAGCTTGGGTTTTCCCAGGTTGGTTATTCCTAGCAATACCACTGGATTTGGCCAACCAGACATTGGGCCCAGCCAAACACCTTCACTGCTGTTTGTGATCAGTAGTGACAAGCCCAAGCTGATGTCATGGAGCATACTAAGAAACTCTCCAATAATTAAGGCCAGGTATTTTTCAACCCCGTGCATTTGCCCAGGATTTTAATGCCTGTTTCTCTGCAGCTTGGAATAATAGTTTAAATCTTTCTCACCTTTTCCCATATGAGCAGAGGTGGTGTTTAACTAGAGAAGAGTGGTGATTGGGTAATGGTTTGGATACAATTTCAGAAAAATATGAGTACAAAAGAGTTAGAGCAAAAGCAGGTATTCTGCCTAATGCCCTCAGCTACCATTAAGAAACATGAAAATCTAATTGTGCTGAATGGAAACGTACATCTTCATCACTGATTATGACACGGAAGAAAATTACTATATGATTGGCATCATAATGGCCAATGTTGAAATGTGATGACACGCCAATATGATGTACATCTCCATTAGGAATGATAAATCAAAGGTTATTCATTTGTGCTTGATTTATGCCTGGGAAATGCTACCAAGGGAAATCTTGATTTAAATCTCTCAAGTCATAAAAAAAAGAAAAGCCGGGAGTGCCCTCTTCTGGCAACAGATGACGACTGTAGTCCCTGCAGTACTTTCCCCTATTGCTTTTTATTTATGAATATAATTTAAAATTTCGATCTTTCATTATCCCTTTTACCACCACCATGGTCTGTGATATTTTCAGTAATATAATTCATAGTCCTTTCCTGTATTTTATCCTCTGTTTCAGAAGTAGACTGGATAACATTTAATCCTGTGAAATCTCCCTTCTCACAACCAGAGGCCTTAATCTTGCTGGTAATCTTATTCCAGGAATACAGCAGAAAACTGCACAAGGGCTGTGCAGTTTATTACTGAGCAGGGAGGAAGGGTGTCATAGTTTTTTCTGAGTTAGATGAGAGACACAACCTCATGGGTATATTGAACAGGATCTGGACCACACGAGAAAGGAATTATTGATGGGACTGAAATTATTTGCTGAACTGTTGTCTTACCCAAGGCATCTACTCTGTAGTTGCCTGTATTTAGTAGCTGCAGAGAAAAGAGTGGAACAGGAGATGAGAGGGAGGAAACACCTCGACTTCTTGCTTGCAACCATTCCCTGCACTTGTTGCACTTGTGCACAGCATGCTGTGCTGTCTGTCACTCACAGCTGTGTGGGAGCATTCACTCTGACCTCTCTTACATACAGGTAAAGCCTTTCAGCTGCTTATACCACCCCACTTCTAATTTCTAGATCTTCTAGCTTTTAAGATCTACCTTTCTCACTCTTCATGCAGCTAAATTATTTCTTAAGTTCACATTATTTAGCAGCTGAGTTGGTGCAACCTCCTTTTCTCTGGCCTTGATGCATGCAGGCTTGCCTTTGCCCTAATCATTCTGCATGTGACTGCTCTTGCTTCGAAGATCATTTCCCTGGCCTGTCTCTTTGAACATGTCACTTTTCTCTTGGCAGCACTGTGCTACCTCCCCCCTCCCCTATCTCACATCAGCATAAGCTGTCTGTCTTCATTTCCAAGGTCCCCTGGGACCCCACCTATCATCTCTCATTGTCAGGAGGCAGGAACGGGGAACAGAGCAGCTGCAGTAACTGCCCTGCCTGAGCAGACTTCCAGCTCTGCCATGCTTGGTCCTTACATTCATTTTTGGAGGAGGATGTGGGTAAATACAATTGGTCAGGGGCAAAAAAAAAAAAGGGTGACTATTAAAGGCAGTCAGGAATGAAGACAACTCCCATGTTTAAATGCTGTTATAGCCTTAAAATGATTTGTCACCTTTTGTTCAGAGTTACCATCCTCCTGTGTTCATCTCCAAGCAAGCTCACTTTCATTTTCTCCTCTGTAGTATCTGTCATACTTGGAAAGTACCCTACATAAACACACTCAGATTTATGTTGGTAGCTCTGTAGAATTTCCTTAAACGTCTCCTTTGCCATGAGGTCTACGAAAGCTTTGACAGCCCTTAGACTGCTGGTGAGGTAATACTGCTGTCACTGAGCATTCATTTCCTTTATTCTCCCTCTGTCTGTTTGTATCCATCTGTGGTGTCTTGTCCTCTGTTTAGTTTGTAACCACTCTGGGACAGGGCCATCATTTTGGTTGATGTTTACGCAGTGCTCCAGACACTATTTGTTGTTGGGGTTCCTGTGTGGTCCAATAGTGCAGAAAACAAATAAAAACAGTAACAGCCTGTGGCAGGTGCTCTCTTCTTGCATAGACCTCATTGATTTCAGGCTGTGGGTTGAGCAAATTGCATGAGTGTGGTTTAGGTCTTGTGGGTAACTGAGAAAAGGGCAGAAACAGAAGAACAGTGAAGGCAAAATTTACAGGCTTTTGTTTCTGAAAAATAAAGCAGAAGGGCTATAAATGGCAGGAGGAAGAAAAAAACCTAGACATTTGAAGATCTTTAGACCTCACCCTTTTCCCTTTTTGGTATAAAACTGCATCAAAATTCTAATACTCAGCTATTTTCAAAACCAGTAGGAAACTGTGTCTTTGCCTGAGTTTCCTAATTTCTAAATTGAGCATCTCTGGCTTTAACTAACATAGGAACCATAACCCTATTTTTGTAAGTCTTTTGATGATAGGGAGATATCATGAACCATTATTATTCTATCATAACTTGAATTTGGTTATATTAGAAAAATGGG